GTCTTATCATAATTCCTGTGCTTTGAAGCTAGGAGTAATTTGCCCTGTTTGCAGCCACTAATTCAAAACCTCAGGGCTTTGTATATATGTATGCTGTCCCTAGATGACTTAATTCTGTATTATGGTTTTTGGTGCCACTTTTCTGCCGATAACACTTAGTTCTATCTTTCTGTACCAGACATTTCCACATGTTTTTCTGATACTGCCGCAGAACTGATATGTCCAAGGTTAATCCATTTTAACTTTGTTCCCCTGGCCTCTTTGTATGAGCTTTCAGTGTCCATTGGCAATGACACTATCTACCTCATTGATCAAAGATAAAACCTTAATGTTCTCTTTGATGTCTATCTTTCCATCTTCAGTTTGTCACCAAATCATGTGGTCTCTTTTTTTTTTACACTCCTACAGAAGTTCTCGTGTTTCTCTTCCACATCACCACCACTATTGTTGCACCTGGAGTCCTCACAGCCTAAGGTTCTTTCTACAAGCCTTAATAGAAACTGGCCACATGGAATGATAGATTACAAATCAGCCTAATTACTGTGTTTCCCCAAAAATAAGACAGGGTCTTATTTTCTTTGGACACCTGAAAAAACGGCTAGGGCTTTTTTTCGGGGAGGTCTTATTTTTGGGGGGTGCAGGAGGCGGTGAGTGTGATCACCTCCTGTCTCCTCAGCCCTTTAACTGCGGCCTGCGGATCATCTGATCTGGCGAGGGCCGGAGGTTCTGTCTCTCCAGGAGCCTGGAGATGTTTCTGGCACACTCTTGCCAGCCCTAGCCCTGTCAACCTGGGACTAGGGGGAGGGGGACCGGCGCCAGTGCTCTGAGCAGTGGCTGGTGCAAGCTCTGTCTGCGCAGCCATAAAGGAGGATTGGTGTGGCTGGTTCTTGCCCACAGCATTGCTGGCCAGGATCGGGTCAGAGCCGCTGCTGCCTGAGATCAGCAGGCCAGATTCGGTGAGCCAGACGCACTGCCGCCACCCAGGAGGAAAAGAGGCAGAGGAGGCGCAAGAGAGCCCATTTTTCACGTTCTCACCGAATCTGGCCTGCTGATCTCTGCTGGCGAGGGGGGGGCGGAGAGAGAGAGGAATGAATGAGCGAGTGAGTGTGTGCCTGTCAGTTGGCTTCCAGCGCCAGAGAGGGCCAGGCTGCTGTTGCCTTTCATTGGGGCACGTGGAGCGAGACAGGGCTCCTCTTGCCATCTGTTCTCCCCCCCTTGCCGGGCATGGCAGGGCTTCCTGCCCCTCACTTAGCCACCCGCCCCCTTTATCGAGGGGGGGTAGCAGGTGGGGAGGGGTGGGGCAGGGGAGAAAGGGTATTCCCAACTCCCAGACCGACTGGCTTCTTCCTGGTAGCTCTTTCTCTGCCTTTCAGCGTTGGCTGTCAAAAAGGATTTTCTGGGCAGGAAAGCTTGCCCAACCCCCAACCCCCCCAGGTGTCCTCGTTTCCTCCAAGCCTTTCTTTGCCTACCAGTACTTGATTTCCAGTGGTGGGTTCCGGATACCGTTGCAACCGGTACAGTGCAACAGGGCCTGGCGTCCACCACATGAACGTGCGCAGCGTGCGCATGCGTACTTACCGTCTGCGATGCTCCGCGATGCCTCCATGACGCTTCAGCTGCTCGGCGGAGCGTTGTGCAGGCGCCGTACGCTCTGTGTGCGTGCGCGGAAGCCCCAAAGAGCTCATATACAGGTAAGGACAGGCTGGTGGGCCCTCCAGAGTACTGTACCGGAACGGTACCCGGTGCTCCCGGCAGGCACTGGTACACCCGTACCAGGGCATACCGGTCGTAACCCACCACTGTTGATTTCCAGCTCTGTCACAGGGAAACAAATTTGTGGGACTACCGTAAAAAAGCTGCTCGCGAGAAGTTGGAATTAATTAATTGAACTTTTTTTATGGCAGCTCCAGCGACAGTCCCCCTCTCCCCACTCCCAGGTCGACAGGCCTAGGGCTGGCAAGACTCTGCTAGAAACATCTCCAGGCGCCTGGAGAGACAGAACTTCCAGCCCTTGCTGGATCAGCTGATCCATGTGCCGCAGTTAAGGGGCCGAGCAGACATGAGGTGACCGGGGAAGGGAAGGGCTGCCTCCTGTGCTGGCCATGCCCGCCCCCTCACTAGGGGCTGATTTTTGGGGTAGGGCTTATATTAGGCTTAATCCCCCAAAATTGTGCTAGGCCTTACAGTGGGGCAAAAAAGTATTTAGTCAGGCACCAATTGTGCAAGTTNAAAATCTACTTCTCTCCAATGCAACACATTCTTTTGCAAATTGTGGCTATCTTCTTTGAATTTTCTCATTTAAGTATGCCCTTCAACTTTTCTGTAGAACAGATAATTTGCTGGTATTACTGCTCCTAAGTTTCCAGAATAGAAATAGCATTGTTCACACTGGTTGATGATCTCAGATAGAGTTTAGATAGGAAAGTGTACTCTTTTTTGGTCCAAATAGACTTCTCATTTGCCCTTAATAATGATTGTTTGTAATGATTGTAAGTGATTGTTAATCAGCGTGGCTTCACTTGGAATTCATAGTCCAGGGGATAAAAAGCACACTCAAAACCAGCAAACTTAAGTGCTGAAGCTGACCAGACTAAGGACGCTAGTCAGATTGTGAGATAAAAACTGAGTTATTAAATCCT